AAAACAAGCAATGATGTGTGCAAACAAATTAGGTAAAATGCATGCAAAAATAAAGTGCGTAATAAAATATGTAAAAATAAAGTTTGTAAAAGGCATGCAAAAACAAAGTAAACAGTGATAAGCACAAATAAAAGAGATAAAAGGCATGCAAAAATAGATTTGGTAATGAATCATGCAAAAGAAAAGTAAGTAAAGGAAAAAAAATAAAAAAATGTAAAGATATATATAAAAATAAAGTTTGTAATAAAATATGCAAAGATAAAGTAAGTGAACGACATGCAAAAATAAAACAAGCAATGATGTGTGCAAACAAATTAGGTAAAATGCATGCAAAAATAAAGTAAATAATAAAATATGTAAAAACAAAGTAAACAAAAGGCATGCAAAAATAAAGTGAGTAACAAAACATGTAAAAATAAAGTAAGTACAAGGCATGTAAAAATAAAGTAAATAATAAAATATGTAAAAATAAAGTAAGTAAAAGACATGCAAAAATGAATAAAATATGCAAAAATAAATAAAATAATAAAATATGTACAAATACAGTAAGTAAAAGACATAATGAAATAATGTACATAATGAAATGTTACAGAAAAAGTTATAAAAAAACTTTCAAAAATGAAAGTGAGTAAAAGGCGGGCAAAATGTAAACTAAGTAAAAGGCGCAAAGTGAAGAATATAGGAAAAATACATAACTGAGTTAAGAAAAGTAAGGGAAATGAAATGCAAAGGAATCAAAAGTGAAGATGTGCAAACAGAAAGCGCAAAATACCAAAAAGCAAAAATCATGGCAAAGAAAAAATTGAGCAAAATTCAAAGTATTTAGTCGTTCAATCGTTCGGAGATGCAAAAAGAAATTAAAATTTGACAATTTGAAAGTTTCTGAAATTTCGTAACTCGAAAGTTGAAAAAAGCTCAAAGCAAATTCAAGAGCTTGAAAAACAAAAATTCGATAAGTCAAAGAAAGGTCCTGAGCACTTTGGAAGTTTGAAACATCCGATAAAACTAAAAATCAAAAAGAAATTTTCATTTCCGAAAATTGTGGTATTCAAAAAAAGGTAAGAATTGAGGAAAT